GAAAAGACCTGCTCAACAAGTAAATGTCTGATTTCTAGTCTATCTGTATTTAGTATTGTCCAGTATGTTAACGGAAAATTCATAAACAGAGGATTTTAGCACAAGAGTTGTCCTTTATCAAATACTGAACTGAAAGTACATGGTAGCCTTTTAAGTAATAGAGCTGTTCAGGCTCTTCAATTGTAGTCAAAGCCAAGGGAACAAAATCCATCCATCATTTCAACAGAGAATATAAACAGGACCAACTGAGCAAGATCTGACCGACTTTAATATCTGCAAACATAACCTTTCCAGAAAAAAGCAGGACCACCCTCAGGCAAGATGAGACAAGGCAGTGAAAGACACCACGTGGGCTGGTTGGAGCCTTGGCTCATTGACTAAGTGCTTGCTACACAAGCCTGCAAACACTGATTCAGGTCCCCAGAATGCTCATCAAGGTATAAACTGAAAATCGACCCCAAGGTTATCCTTTGTGCCCCCCTCCACACACACGCCATGCACTAACATACTATAGACTCCCTTGGGCTGGAGAGATGGCTCAGAGATTAAGAGAACTGGTTGTTTAGAGATTAAGAGAACTGGCTGTTCTTCCAGAAGTCCTGAGTTCAATTCCCAGCAACCACAGGGTGGCTAGCAACAACTATCTAGAATGAGATCTAGTGCCCTCTTCTGGCAAAACATTGTATGGATAATAAATAAATAATACTTTTGCTTCATTATTGTCTGTATTTTGTTTTGTTTTAGCTGAGAGAGTAAGGAGGTGGGAGGACCTAGGAGGAGTTTGGAGCAGTATTAAAAAAATTTTTTTAACTAAAATAATGTGGTTAGAGAGCTAAACAAAGGTTAATTCATACAGAGTTTTATAACCAGGACTTATTGCTAGGTAGTCATTTAAGTTATTGGTAATATTAATAGGGAGTTAGTGAAGATTTTTGGACCAGAAAACGGCATGATCTGATTGAAACATAGGTAACTTTGATTTCATGTGTATGTATATATATACGCATATATATATATATATATATAGAGAGAGAGAGAGAGAGAGAGAGAGAGAGAGAACACCTCTGTAAAAACAGTAATTATAGGAATCCTAGATTACAGCATGAACTTGAGCTTTAACAGAAGTCAATCAGGATTTGTGGGAAAATGGAGGGATTATCTACTATGAAATCAAAGTTAACACCTAGACCAGTGGTTCTCCATCTGTGGGTTGCATCAGATATCCTGCATATCAGATATTTATGTTACAATGCACAACAGTAGAAAAATTAGTTATGAAGTAGCAATAAAATAATTTTATGGTTGGGGGGTCACCACAACATTAAGGAACTATATTACAGGATCGCATTAGGAAGGTTGAGAAGTACTATCTAGACTTCTGAGTCTGATAATCCAAGTTTTTTGACTGAGTCCATATCAGAATCACTCAGTAAAAATCAGTTTTAACTAAGATAAGTCTAAGATACCATGCATGGTTAGTATACCTTAAGAGGTCAAGGTCTCATATTTAAAACTTGACTACCAAAATAGATATATAAATGACATAAAAGGATTAAGGAGAATCAGATGTGTATATGTTAAGGACAGAATATAGTAACCAATGGACTCTAAATGCACACAAAAAAAAATAAGGCCAAGAATGATGGTGCACAATTTTAATCCTAGCAATCCAGAAACAAGGAAGGTCAATCTGTGAATTCAAACATAGCCTAGTTTACATAGCAAGTTCCAGGCCAATCAGAGCTATAAATAAATTTCAGAAACAAATCAGTTATGAGTTGTACACGTCTCCTGAATTTCTACTTGCTTTTCTATATTCTTCCTTCCCCATTTCTCTAACTTCTTATTACAATACACTTCCATCTTGGAAAAATCTAAATTTCAAATTTCAAATAATTACCCTCCCAAATTTTGGGAACAGAAAAGACTATCATACCTAGTTCATCATTAATCTTTTAAAAATTGTTTTAAAAAGTTAAATAACCAGAACATGGATATAGCAACTGTTTTTCCAAAGGTAAATGGTATGTATAGCCACTGTAGATTAAAATACTAAAAATCTATTTTGAAAAAAAATATTATTAACTTGCCAGGTGGAGGTAGTGGATGCCTTTAATCCCAGCACTAAGGAGGCTCTCTCTGTGAGTTTGAGGCCAGACTGGTCTACAGAGCAAGTTTCAGGACAGCCAGCACTACACATAGAAACCTTATCTTGAGTCCCTCCCCGCCCCCCAAAAAAAGTCTTTCAAATCTTTAACTATATCCTAGTTTCTTTCATATTAATTCATTTTCCTCATTCACGACCTTTATTGGTATAGTACTGGGGAGTTAACCTACAACTTCATGCATTATAGGCAAGCACTTTACCAATAAATTGAAATCACAGTTCAAACAAATTTTTTTAAATTTTTTATTTTTATCTTATGCACATTGGTATTTTACCTATATATGTGTCCTGTGTTAAGGTGTCGGATCCCTTGGAATGGGAGTTATAGTTATCAGCTGCCATTTGGGTGCTGGGAATTGAACTCTGTAAGAACACTCAGTGCTCTTAACTGCTGAGCCATCTCTCCAGCCCCAACATTAACCAAATTAATTTCAAATTAACCAAATAAGTTGCATATTTAATGTAATTGTTGAACTTCAAGTATATAAAAATCAAGCTAGGATATAATAGCTCAGTGGTAGAGCAAGGCCCTGTGTATGATCCTCAGCACTGCAAAAGAAATAAAAATCTAAACTATTTGCAATACAAAAGTTCTGCTTTTAAATGAGAGGTAAAAGACAGTCTTTTCTTCTACATTTTAAGTACTGGAGGGCTGAGGTTGTGGCTCTTGAGTGAGAACACACAATTAGTGCAGCATTTCTTCCAACTACAGTTCCAAATGATACTTGGCACCACAGAGCTTGCACCAAACCGTGCACATCCCTATTTTGATACACAGTGCAATTTAACCTTTTAAAGACCTTTTTCCCTACTGAATTTACTACAAGGTCTCTAAATTGTAGAAAATTACCCTGGAATCACAAATTAAGCATTCCTTAAAAGTTGTTTTCTCATATACAAAACATATGTGGGGCTGGAGAGATGGCTCAGAGGTTAAGATCACTGGCTGATCTTCCAGAGGTCCTGAGTTCAATTCCCAGCAACCACATGGTGGCTCACAACCATCCGTAATGAGATCTTGTGCCCTCTTCTGGCCTGCAGGCATACAAGGAGGCTGAACACTGTGTACACAATAAATAAATAAATCTTTAAATAAAAAAAAAACATATGTGAACCTAAGTCAAACTAAATATTGTGAAGGCTATTCCAATTCTAGATCCAAAACTTTGTTTTTAAAAAATTAATTATGAGCTGAGCACTAGTGATGTGTGCTTTGATCCTAGGCACTTGGGAAGCAGAGGCCAGTGGATCTCTGAGTCCGAGGTCTGGTCTACAGAGCAAGTTACAGGACAGCCAAACAGACAAAGTTACATAGAAATACACTGCCTCAGCTGAGTAGTGGTAGCGCACGCCTTTAATCCCAGCACTTGAGAGGCAGAGATAGGCAGATCTCTGAGTACGAGGCCAGGCTGGTCTACAAGTGTTAGTTCCAGGACAGGCTCCAAAACTATGGAGAAACCCTGTCTCGGAAAACCAAAAAAGAAAAACACTGTCTCAAAAAAACTAACAAACAAACAAACCAACAAAAAAACACCAACATGATTCCTCCTACTAGCCTGCCTTGCTCAGCCTTGATATGAACTATGTGCCTCTTCTTATAACTTGGTATGTGATGTATGGTTGATATCCCTGGGAGGCCTGTCTTTCCTGAAGGAAAATGGAGAAGTAGATCTGAGGGTGAGGGACTGGGAGTAGAAAAAAGAAGGGAAAGAGTGGTTGGGATATAATATATGAGAGAAAAGGAAAAAAAAAAACAATAGTGATAATTAAGGTGTGAATAATTTTGTTTCATCTCAAGTAAACTAGCCTATCCTATAGATTACATTAAGTTCAAGTCAGGTAGATTACACAGTGCACATAAGGCTAATCAATTATAGGAATCTAAGAAAATAAGCTTTGGCAATAAGTTGAAATAGCCTTCAAAGCAATTTCATGTGGTTATAAGGAACAAACAGTTCAACATTCAGCTGTATAGAATACCAATTTCCTTCACCAGCTAGCCATACATACACCTGGGACAGCAGTCAGAATAAAAACTCACACAGGGCACTGTCTCGCTTCCCTTTTTTCTTCATGGCATCTGTGTGGCTAAGAGGACAAGACCTAACACAGTACCAGGCTGTTCTGATTTTACTTACAGAGAATACTCAAAGCCTTGCTACTATTTTCATCCTGGGATCACTGAGAGGGTAACTTCTTACAAACAGCTTCTATTCCGTTATTTTTTTCACAAACTCTGAAAACTTCAAACATTACATAGCATATTCTGATCACATCCACTCCTCATTCCCTGTGTCCAACGTTCCTTTTAGTTTCTCCCAAGATGTACTGTCCTTAATCTCTACCTTCTAACAAGGATGCCCAGTCAGGCTTGGTGACACATTTACATCCCAGAACTTAAGGGGCAGAGGCGAGGGATCTCTTTCGAGTTCAATGCCAACCTTGTCTATACAGTGAGTTCTTAGCCATGGATACATAGTTATAGTCTGTCTCAAACAAACAACAATGTTCCAGTAATGAACAAAAAAATAAATTTAAAAAAAGTAAAGGAAACTTTAAAGATCACTTTTAAGTTTTCCATCTCAGTCCAGATATGGCGGCATTTTATCCCTAAACATGGGAGGCAGACACAGGTTCATCTTTGTGAGTTCAAGATAGCCTGGTCTACACAGAACACCAGAGGCCAGCCAGGGCTACATAGTGAGACCCTGTTTTTAAAAAAAAAAGTTTTCTACTTCACTGTCACTTCCCCTTAAATTTTGAAATCTCTATTTGCTTTTCATTCTACGCCTAACCTCTGCAAAATTGTCATTTGAACACTAACAGGACTTACGTCTCATGGGTTCCAAAAAAGAAAATTGGTAGTTTGTTTGTGGGTGGTTTCACAGCTCCATCAGGAACTTCATCTACCTAAAAGAAAGATCAGAAAAGGTAAAGCTTTTTTAAATCTTACACACCCTGCCACACACGTATAAACTCATAGAATAAGACACCCCAAATGGATCTGATACAAAATTGACTCATTTTACAAATCCACTCAAATAAGTTCTAAAGGCAAGATTATTTCTCCCAGAACTCATTTGGTGGTAAAACCTGTACTGACACCAAAGTCCTTTTTTTCATACATTTAACAGTTTTTTTTTTTATCCTTGTTTGGAAAAATACTAAGTTTATCATGTGCTTACTAAATCATCCCAGCAGCAAATCTTTTGTTTTCGGAGACAGGGTACCTAGGATGAGAACATGATAGATAATACTTAAAAGAATTTTGATTAGATAAACTCAAAATCATTTAAAAAATAAACTGTGATATTCTGAAATCGTAATTATTTTTCAATACAAATTGTTTTTATTTCTTTTTCCAGACAGTTTCTCTATGTAGACCTATCTTTGAAGTGAGAAATCCACCTGCCTCTGCCTCCCAAGTGCTAGGTTTAAAGGCTGTGCCACCACTGTCAGGCCCAGCAGCAAATCTTAAAGCAGTGTACCACAATTAGCTTTCTAAAATCCCTAATTACTTAATTTTCAGAACACATCTGACATCAAGCATTTCATACAGGAGTCTCTCCACCTGCTGTGCAATCCTGCAGGAGGGCTCTACAAACAGTAAGTAATGTGAGGCTAGAGAAATGGCTCCGTGGTTAAGAGTACTTGCAACTCTTCCAAAGATCCAGTTCAGCTCCTAACACCCATGCCAAGCCCCTTACAACCACTTCTTCTAGGGTCCATCACCCTCTTCTGGCCTCCTCAGGTACTCGCATACATGACACACAAACTTACACGCCGAAATAATTAAAAAAAAAAAAGTAATATAAAAGCAGACCGAAACAGAAGCTTAAAGCACTATTTTCCCATGTTAGAAAAACAGTATGGGTCAGAACTCCAGGTCTGTGGTGACTTTAATCCAGGACAGCCAGAGTTGTTAAACAGAGAAACCCTGTCTCAAATGACAAACCAACCAACCAAGCAAACAAACAAACAAATCAAAAAACAAATTGAGCTGCTTCTAAGAAAAAGAAAATGGGGGGGGGGGGGTAAAAACATCCTATTCCAATCCAAATGAACTCCTTAGCTGGAGTGATGGCTCAACAGTTAAGAGTACTTGCTGATCTTCCAGAGGCTCCAAGTTCAAGTCCTAGTATCCACATAGCAGCTCTGAAGTGTCTTGAAACTTCAGTTTCAGGGATCAAACAATCTTTTGCACAAGGCACATCCATAAACAAAGATTTCTAAAATAATTATTTTTTCAACTGGCAGTGATGGCGCACACCTTTAATCCCAGCACTTGGGAGGCAGAGGCAGGCAGATCTATGAGTTCAAGATCAGCTGGGCCTGAAGAGCAAGTTCCAGGACAAAGAGAGCTACAGGGAGAAGTACTGTCTTGGAAAAAACAAGTTAATTTAGAGTGAGTTCCAGAATAGCCAGGGCTGCATAGAGAAACTTTGTCTCAAAAAACAAACAAACAAACAAAAAAAATGAGCTGTATGAAGAATAATTACAATTTCAGAACATCCAGTTTATTTTCAAAAAAATTATGAGTTTATCTAATCAAAATTCTTTATCATGTTCTAATCCTAGGCACCATTATAAACTAGAAAAAATATCACTTTTTTTTTCTGAAAATGGAGCTTGGGTTTTTCATATCACATCTTGAGTCCTTAAGACTTCTCAGGTTTCCTTAACCCAGTGTACCCTCTACACCTCCCCCTTGCCTGTGGGGAACAAAAAGCCATAAAACAACTTCAAGGTCATAAGACAAGGAATGTGAATTAAAAAGGCCCAAGTGCATCACCAACGGCAAATCCTATATTAAACATGTCTAAATCTGGTTTAATCACATCTGACATACAAGGGTTTGTAGTGTGCATATTTCGTTGATGATTTGTATTTTATTCAAAATTCCAAAATTTAAGGAAATGTCATTTTTAAACATAAAGATCATACTTGTTGATTTCGCCTACAATGGAACAGTAGCTGAATGTCATCTCTAAATATTTCCTATGAAGAACACCTGTCAGACTCAAAAGCAAGCCACAGGGAAAGCGCGGGTGTGCAGAAAAGCCGACAATTTTACAATTGCACGGGAAGAGTACCGAAAAAAAAAAACTAAAATGAAAGGATCCAAGTAACGGTAAAGGGAAGCGAGGGAGAGGAAGCGGAGAAGAAACGATGGGAAGTAGGCCTCTGGAAAGGCTGCCGCACCGCACCGCACCGCTCCACCGGGGCTACAAATCACTTACTCGAGCTGGCCAATGAGGATAACCTTTCATCTTGGCGAAGATGAGGTCTCCAGGTTTGAAATCGCGAGTCATGTTGGAGGGGCGACGCCGGGAGTCCCAAGACCAGAAGGGGGAGCAGCGCAGCCGCGGTCGGGAGATGCGAGCGCGGACACGAGCTGGGACTGGCGGGCCTGCGGGCGGGGGAGGATGCCTCGGGGTGTCCCGACGAGCCTGCGAGGGACAGCAGGGAAGGCGGTTAAGGCGCAAACCCCGGGGAGGGGCCGCGGGGAGGAGGGCAGGGGGGAGGGGAGGCCGCGGAGGGGGAGGGGGAGCCGCCTGCGCGCCTCCTCGGAGCGCGGCCTCGGTCCCGAGCAGCGTCCGGGCCTGTGGCCGCCGCCACCTGAGGCAGCATCACCGCCCGCCACCCGGCCGCCCGCCGCCCCACCCCAGCGCTGCCAGGGCTTTTCCCACGGGCCGCAGCCCACGAGGGAGGGGCGCGGCGGGAGAGGGGAGGGAGGCAGCTAGCGCGGCCGCCCGCTTCCCACCCGCGCCGAGCGGGGGCGGGGCGGCCCTCACCTGCCGGGCGGCGACGCTGGGGCTGCGGGGCGCGCTGGCCGCCTGTGCCCACGTCCACGCCGGCCACCTGCGCCACCAGCTGCCGCAGAGGCGTCTCAACGGCTCCGAGCTGCAACCGCCACCTCCACCGCCGCCGCCGTCGCTGCGCCGCTCCCGCGCGGCTCCCGCTCGGCGCCCGCTAGCGCTGGGCCGTACCAACTGCTCGCCCAGATGGGGGTGGCGCGGCGACTGGCGAGGGTCGTGGCTCGGAAGCGGAGCTCTTGGAGACGCGAGGGCCCACAGGTGCCCCTGCTTACAAGAAACAGCAGCTAGGTGCCGTGGGACCGGAGGGAGGGGAAGGGCCTCCAGGGAGGCGGGCCGGAGCTGATTGTCTCCCACCCCCACGGCTGGCACAGTGGTCGCGCCCGGCCCGCCCCTGCTGGCTGCTCTGCGTGTGTGTATTTGTATGTGTACTGTATGTAAAAGGCGGGGAGGGAGGAAACGATTGTTGTGAACCCCGTTTGGGGGCGGGTATTCGGGCCTGTAGCCCATGGCTACACGTTTAAGAAAAACTGGCAGTCCGAGGTGATTGTTCTCGCATCCTCCTCCAAGGTGGTGGTACTGTAATGCTCCTGCGCGGTTTACATCATCCAAAAAAAAAAAAAAAAGGAGCTGTGCAAAAACCCAGAGATCAAATTGGGCTATGAAGCAGTTACAGGGTGTGCACCTTGTAGGCCTCTTCAACATCGCAGAATGGGCTTTGCAGTCTTCGTTTCCTCAGGACTGTAACACGAGAAAGCCCTATTTCATTTCCTTGCCATTTCAACCACGGAGAACCGTTAAGAAAAATGCAATCCCAGTGGATGCAAAACGTGAAAGGTACAAAACAATGACGCCGAAAGCGCAGTTAGCTTGTTAGGGTATGGATTTGGGCCTAAACTAAATTTAAAATGTTATTTCCTTAGGAGAGTGGTGGCTAATAGGTGGTACAAGAAGCAAGTCTTACTAACACCTACATATTCACCTCTTACAGCGTTTTTAAAGGTGATGTTATTTTTGAACCTTTAGCCAATGCATGTTTTTAATATTTTGTAACATACCTAGCTTGCTGATGTGGATTGACACTTCCTGATTTTTACTGTACCAGAACTAATTTTTCTTATCCATTAACACCCTGGTTTCCAACAAATATGTGGTATAGTAGAAGATATTTTTCTTTCATCCTCCATTGATTCTCCCCAAAATGCTGTTTATAAGGAAGCACTGTTTGATATTGAAAATACCTCCGTTAACAAGATCAGATATTTCCTATATAAGACAGGCTAGAAAAGTTAAGGACATGAAAAATATTAAAACGTGTAAGTATTTATGCCTATCTAATGCTGCTTTAAATAAAGACTCGCAGCTGAGAATAAATTCGAAAGGGCTTTGTTTGAATAGCAAAAATTGTGAGATTTTATTTTTTTTAAAGGAATATTCCATGCCTTTAAAAGGAAACAAGGCATCCGAATGTTAAATCACTGCAAGGAGGCAACTGTAGAGCTGCACCAGTCGGAAGGTTCCGTGTGGAGCTAAAAGAAATAATGGGAAATATTGGTGACATGTCATCAAGCTTATCGTTCTGAACTTGATATTGTGTTTAGGTGGCCATCCAAAGTTGCACAGCAGGAAGGACGTAAAACTGATTCTTTAAAACTGGATTATTGCCAGGTGGTGGTGGCACCCACCTCTAGTCCCAGGGCTGTGGAGGCAGAAGCAGGTGGAGCTCTGTGAGTTCAAGACCAGCCAGGTCTAAAGAGCCAAATCCAGGACAGCCAGAGTTAGACAGGGAAAACATGGCTTGAAAGAAAAAAAAAACACACACACACACACACAAAACTGGATTACTGATGTCTCCGTGTAGACGTGAGCAGAAACAGACCCTGTGTGTGTCACTGTTGATTAAGAAGGGAAGAAAAAAAAAGCACAACTAAGCAATTATCAAAACAACTGTCAGGTGTGGGTGTAAATCATGGACCTGGAAAGAGATGGAAAAATGTCTGATCCTAAGTAACATGTATCCAAGCAGCACCCAGCCATTGTCCGCAATGCTACAGGACCTTGAAACTGCAATTGTCCTCAGGCCCGCAGCCTGGGCTTCACCTGAGGGCTTGCTAGCGGTTTCACCACCCCCATCTACTAATCTGCATCTTAACAAGAGCCCCAGGTTTTTTTGTTTTGCTTTGTTTCTTCACCGGAGGACTAAGTAGCAGTTCAACCTCCCTGATCTACTAATCTGCATTTTTAACAAGATCCCCAGGTTTGGGTTTTTTGTTGTTGTTTTGTTTTGTTATTGGGTTTTTGTTTGGGGTTTTTTGTTTTTTTGTTTTTTTATTGTGGTAGAGGTACTGCCTATGGAGACCAGGGGCCACCATGTTCAAGCAGGTTTCTTCCTTTCACTATGTGGGTCCCAAGATTAAACTCGGGTTTTCCAGGTTTGGCAACAGGGGCCCTTACCTACTGAGTCACCTTGCTGCCCCCTTCCATCCTTGGTGACCTTTATGAATACTCAAGTTGCAGAGAAAGTTTACACAATCCACTGGAAGTCCCCGCGGTGGTGATGGCTATAATCCACACAGCAGTAAAACTCAGGCTGGAGGATGAGAAATTAGAGGCCAACCTGTAGGCAAAGCCTTTTCTGAAAGAGAGACACACAAGGAGAAAGAGAGACTATCAGATGAAGGTGTATATTGCTTTTAAAAGATACCTTTGTGTTAGTGCTAAATGGCCATGCCAACAAGTAAAGGAGGTGGTTATTGCGAGTAGGGATAATCAGGAATAAAAAAAAAAAATTAAAAGGGACATGCTCTTGATGTACGAGTGTTGAACCAGTATGATACTTACACTCATTAGCTGCACGTTTTGGCAATTTTAGCTAGCAGTAGTCTGAACACAACAGGGGACACCTTTTAAACAACAAATCAAAGCAAAACAGGTGGTGGTTTAAACCTCCAGAGAACAAAGGGCCATAATCCCTGGCAACAACGGTTCTGAATCTAAGTGGGAGGGGAAAATAGGGGGGGAGGGGAAAAGGAAGAGGGGAGGTGGGAATGGAAATGGCTGGGTGTGTGAAAGTCCCAGGCCGAGCTTTGCTCCTCCCACCACAGGAGAAAGAGTACACTTTTCAAAACTGTAACCTCTAGCCTAAGAGAGCAGCAGATCTCAGTGTGTCTGGACAAAACACAAGCTCCATCTTCCCATTCTGCAGATGAGAAAGCAGGCTCATAGAAGGTGAGCAACTTGCGCAAGCACACTCGCCATCAAGGGCCCGAACCAACTTCCAGCCTTTGTGCTCTCTGGTCTGCGCCGTTTCGTAATTTCACAAGCGCTCTAGGTTGTGCAGGAAGGCTGGAGGTTGCAGGAGGTTGAGAATGGCTCATAATTAGAGAAAGATGCTGGAAGTAGAGGCAGCCCGGTTCCCTTAGCCCAGCTTCAATTCCCTAACAATCTTCCCCCGACCCCACCCACCCACCCCATGGCCCCGGATCATCTTCCGTTGAACTCTTTCTGGGCCTAAATAACTCAATCCAAAAATCACACCTAACTATCATCTTCTAGTGCCTCACTTTCTTATTACAATCTTCCTAGTTTTTAAACTACTTAGAACCAACTATCCTCATAGGTGCCTGTATTTTGCAGGTACTCAACACCGAACGAACAGTAAAGGGAGCTCACTGACTCCGGACTAACAGCGGGAGAACCAGCATAGGACCAAACTAGGCCCTCTGAATGTAGGTGACAGTTGTATGGCTGGGGCAGTCTCTGGGGCCCCTGGCAGCAGGACCAGGATTTATCCCTAGTGCTTGTACTGGCTTTTTGGAGCCCATTCTCTTTGAAGGGATACCTTGCTCAGCCAAGATACAGTAGGGAGGGCCTATATGCTAGATAGACTTTGTTGACTCCCATGAGAAGCCTTACCCTCTTTTAAGGCATGAATGGGGAATGGTGTGGGGGGGGAAAGGTGAGGGGAGCAGAAGGGGAAGGAGTGGGAACTGGGATTGGTATGTAAAGTGAAAAATGATTGCTTTTAAAAAATTAATTAATTTAAAAAGAAAAGAACAGACAGAGGATAAACCCCGTCTCAATGCTAATTCTTGAGGCTAAGAAAACAGGTCAGAAGACACATGAATGTGCCATGTGCTCCTCAGGAAGCTGAGCTGGAACAGGGTGCTCAGCCTGTGGGTAGAATGGGTCACACATCAGACATTTACATTAAGATTCATAACAGGGGGCTGGAGAGATGGCTCAGCAGTTATGCACACTGGTAGCGCTGGGCAGTGGTGGTGCATGCCTTTAATCCCAGCACTTAGGAGGCAGAGGCAGGCAGATCTCTGTGAGTTCGAGGCCAGCCTGGTCTACAAGAGCTAGTTCCAGGACAGGCTCCAAAGCTACAGAGGAAAAAAAAAAAAAAGAGCACTAATTGCTCTTCCAGAGGACCTAGGTTCAATTCCCAGTTCACAACTGTCTGTAACTCTAGTTCCAGGGGATCTGACACCCTCACACAGTCATATATTCAGGGAAAATGCCAATGTACATAAAATTCAAATAAATAAATTAAAAAGAAGATTCATAACAGTAGCAAAATTACAGTTATGATGTAGCAACAAAATAATTTTATGGTTGAGGGTCACAACAACCGAAAACTGGATGAAAGGGTCACAACATGAGGAAGGTTGAGGACCACTGGGTCAAAGGATTGCAAGTTGGAGGCCAGCTTTCACCCAGCAGGCAAGAGGCCTGGATCAATCCTGAGAGCTGGAAATAAAAAAACTAAATGAAGATATTCATATTTGATGTTATGATTTTTCATATACTTTAAGGTTGACTTTTAAAGCAGTAATTCTTTTTCTCTACAAATCATTTAATATGACTGGACAGATGGCTCTGTGAATAAGAGTGCTTGCTGCTCTCCCAGAAGACCTGAGTCCAGGTCCCTGCACCCACATGCACAGACACATGCATACATACATACATACATACTACACACATACACACTATTTTAAAAATAAAGTAAGATCTAAAATATTTTTTTAATATTTATTTATTATGTATACAATATTCTGTCTGTATGTATTTCTGCAGGCCAGAAGAGGGCACCAGACCTCATTCCAGATGGTTGTGAGCCACCATGTGGTTGCCGGGAATTGAACTCAGGACCTTTGGAAGAGCAGACAATGCTCTTAACCACTGAGCCATCTCTCCAGCCCAGATCTAAAATATTTTAATAGCTTTTCTTTCTAAATGAAATTTGATGCTTATTACAAAAGATATTCCTTCATACTTTCCCACAGTTCTGACTTTTATATAGTCTTACTAACCAACCTCATACTTAATAGTAATTACTGATCTGTTTTATTATTATTAATCCCAAAGGTGCAAGAAGATAGACCACCGACTCAAATCATCATGGCCAAATTAATTAAAGCAAGCTTTTTGTTTGTTTGGCTTTGGTTTTTGTCTTGTTTTGTTTTCTAGATAGGGTTTCTCTGTAGTCCTGGCTCCTGACTGTCCTGGAACTGGCTATGTATGTAGACCTGGCTGACCTCAAACTCACAAAAATATGCCTAGTTCTGCTTCCTGAGTGCTGGTGATTTAAGGAGTGCACCATCCCCGGCTGGTGTGGATTTTGCTCTTACTTTTTAAATGTAAATTATTATCATGTTTTCCACGGTGATTAGTAGAAAATTTTGGCTTAGCGGGGCAATGATGGCACATGGCTTTAATCCTAGCACTCAGGAGGCAGAGGCAGGTGGATCATTGTGAGTTCGAGGCCAACCTAATCTATCTGAACTATCCAGAACAGGCTCCAAAACTACAGAGAAACCCTGTCTAGAGAAAGAAAGAAAGAAAGAAAGAAAGAAAGAAAGAAAGAAAGAAAGAAAGAAAGAAAGGAAAAGAAAAAAGAATTTTGGCTTAAATATGTCTTTTTAAGATTTATTAACCTAGAATAACATGAAAATTAAGAGCTTTTGAAAAATTGAGTTCATGTACAGATTGGAAAATGCAAAGTAGTTGATTTTTTAATTTTATGTGTATATTCATTACTCTGTTGGGACTGAGGGGTAGCTCCATAGACAAAGTACTTGCTGTGTAAAGAGAAGAACATGATTTCAACCCAAGAACCCACGGGAGAAAAAGCCAGCAAGGATGGCACATGGGTGTGTTGCCAGTGCTGGGAGGGAGCAGAGCATCCCTGGGACTTAGCCTAGCCTATTTAGAGAAAAGGCCAGCAAGAGAGTTTGTCTCCAAAAATAAGGTGCCTATAGCTAGGCACTGGTGGCACACACCTTTATCCCAGCACCTGAGAGCCAGAGGCAGAGGGATCTCTGCATTCAAAATCAACCTGTTCTACAGACCAATCTGAATTTAAGGTCAGCCTGTTCTACAGAGAGACTTCCAGGAAAGCCAGGACTACATAGAAAAACCCTGTCTCTAACAAAACAAAAAATAAAAATAAATAAATAATATAATATAAAAAAAATCAAGTACATGGTTCCTAAGGAATAACACTCAGGGCTGACCCCTCTGGCCTCCACATGCACATCCACACACATGCGTGTGCAGCACTTCACACACATACACACACACACACACACAGAATCATGCTTCTTCAATTTACATTAGCATAGTTTTTTTTTCTCTTTTCCTGTCCTTTTCTTCCCTCCTGATCCCTTCCCTCCTTTCTCTCTTCCTATTTTACAGGTCCACTCCTCCTGCTAGACATGTGCCAAGGCCAAATGGCAGAGGGCTTTCCAGTTATGCCAGCCCCTGTACCAGCTGTGAGGGCACCAAGCTAGGATACCAACTGGTCAAGGACTGGTAGGTTGACTTCACCCACATGCCCACTCTTAAAAAGCTCCATTATCTCTTGTTGACACCTTTACAGGATGGATGGAGGCGTTTCCCATCTCCAGGGAAACAGCAGAAGTGATGGTGCAGTTACTCCTGGAACACATCATCCCCAATCTGGCATGCCATGCTCCTGCAAGCTCCTGGGACATCAGCGCTGGTACCACATCTCCAGGCTCAAGTGGGCACCTATCCAGGATAAATGGTCTGTCCTACAACTGGGACCTTCTACTTTCCGGTTTTTCAAAATGTCCCAATAAAGAGCATATCTGCTCTTGTGTCTTGCTCGTTCATCTTTGTCGTTCAACTTTGCCTCTTCTGTACAACCAGGGCATGTCTCCGCTTCATTCTTCCCGGGAATCTCCACTCTTCCCATGGCTAGCCTCGTTCATAGGGCTGTGATAATAACCATTTTTTTTCTTTCTTCTCCTAGCAACTTACCTTCTCTGCTTCCTCAAGAAACAAATTCCTGAGGTCTCCGGGATGGCAGTTAACTGAATGCTTCTTCACCCATACCTCCGGCTGAGCCTGAGTCCACTGGCTTCCTACTCCCTGTCACCATGTAGTCCTATACCAACAGGTAGTAAGCAGACTTGAACCATCACCCATTTATCCAAGAAAGTTGGGGTGCTCTGCTCCTCCCTCTCCAGACACTGCCCACTCAGAAAGACTGCCTAAAGTCCAGGCTCCTCCCCTGAAGCTCAACATCTCACCCACAGGGAGTTAAGCCCTGGTCCTTGAACCTGCACAGTGATTTCTCTTCTGCTCACTTTCCCGACAGTCACTGGGGGATTGCTTTCCTCAGATTAAACCTGGTCTTTTAACTTGGCTTGATCTGGCTTACTAGGTTGTCGGAGAAACTTACCAGGATCCAAAATTACCTGTCACTTCCCTCCTGTCTTTCTTCTTTCTTCCTTTTCTGTTTTTTGAGACAAGGTCTCAGGTAGCCAAGGTTGACCTTGCCTTCGTGAGCAGCTGACTGCTGCGCCTCTTGCCTGAGCCTCCAGGATTACAGGTGCACACCGCCACATACATACAGCATCATCTGTGTAGCTTTTTAAACATACTCTGTAAACATTTGTTTGGGGATTTTTGTTTTGTTTGTTTTGCTTTAAATTGGCCTGAAGTGGTGGCACACACCTTCAATACCAGCAGCGGGGAGGCAGAGGCAGGAAGACCTCTGTGAGTTCATGGCCACACTGATGTACACAGCAAGTTCCACATGGCCACACTAGTCATCCAAAGCTACACAGTGAGATCCTGTCTCAAAAATTTTTTTAGGGCTGGAGAGATGGTTCAGCAGTTAAGAGCACTGACTGTTCTTCCAGAGGTCCTGAGTTCAATTCCCAGCAACCACATGGTGGCTCACAACCATCTGTAATAAGATCTGGCGCCCTCTGGCCTGCAGGCAGACTTTCTATACATAATAAATAAATAAAATCTTTAAAAATTTTTTTATTATATTCTTATTTATTTATTAGTATGTGTTCTCTGGCACAGTGTGGATATTAAAGAACAATTCCATGTACCATGTGCATCCCAGGGATCAGTTGGGGTTGGTATTATAGTTTAATTGCAGAAGGTAACCTTGGTGGGTTGGAGCCAAGGAGTCATACCATGCAACAGAGCTCACATTAGGATGTTTATTTCATGTGTGTGCGCGCACATGCATGCAGAGGTGACCTCCAAATAAGAGCAGAAGGAAGGAAGAGTGGAGCCACACGGGCTTGCTTTTTTTTAACCAGGGGATAAAGCACATGCGCATAGAGAGCATGCACAGTGCCACATCTTGGCTGCTGCTGCTGACACATCCTGCTAGGTCCCTGAGGGCAGGCCAGTGTAAATGCCTGAATGCTAACAGTTGTCTCTGCTATTAGGCTTGGTGGCAAGTGCTTTTACCCAATGAGACATCTCACCAGCCCCATTAGATGGGTTCTTAAAAAGGAGAGCAAATGGAGGATGGTACTTGGGAGGGCTTGAAGTGAGAAAAAGGAAGGGGGAAATTATATAATTATATTGATTTCAAAAACAAAAAAATGTAGTTAAAAAGAAAAATTTAAAAATATATATTAAGTGGAGCTCATTTAGGTAATCTATATTTTTTCTTTTATCTATTTATTTATTTTTCCAAGATAGGGTTTCTCTGTTGCTTTGGAGCCTGTCCTGGAACTTGCTCTTGTAGACCAGGCTGGCCTCGAACTCACAGAGATCTGCCTGCCTCTGCCTCCTGAGTGCTGGGATTTAAGGCATGTGCCCCATCACTCCCACCCGGCAAAGTGATCCATATTCTTTACTGAATTTGGGTGTTTTGCATTTTATAATCAGATGGGTGGGGTTTGTTTGTTTTCTTTATTTACTTATTTTTTAATATGTATGAGTGATTTGCCTGTGCGTATGTGTACTACCTATGTGTTTGGTACCCATGGAAATCAGAAGAGGGTTTCAGGTTCTGGAACTGGAGTTACAGATGGTTGTAAACTACCATGTGGATGCTAGGATTCAACCTTGAGTTCTCTTCAGGAGCAACGAGTGTTCTTAACCACCAAGCCATCTTGCCAGCCCCATCGGATGGATTTTTAAATCTGCATTTGTATGTGTGATAAAAAAGTATAGACTTTTCCTCATGTTTTTTTAACTAGCATGCTATTAATCCAAAAAGTGAATTTTATTGCCATTTTTACATATGTAAAAACACACTGATCCTGTTTACCCCATACTTCTCTCTCATCCCACTTCTATCCCCTCTACATTTGGATGGGTTTTATGTGTGAGTGTATGGGTGGTATGTATACACACACACACATGTTCATGAGGGAGGGTGCACATGCATGTATGTATGATTGTGAGGCCAGAGATCAACTTCAGATGTTTTTCTCTATTGGTGCGAACATGTGCATGTCATGAAATGCTAACAGAGAGGGAGCAAGACATTCAGGAGGACAGGTAAATGCCACAAGTCATGTGGCAACACAGACGAATAGAAATGGATTAAGTCATAAGAGCTAGGGGACAAGCTGGTTGGTAGTGTCGCACGCCTTTAATCCCAGCACTTGGGAAGCAGAGGTAGGCAGATTTCTGTGAGTTCAAGGCTAGCCTGGTCTGCAAGAGCTAGTTCCAGGACAGGCTCCAAAGCCACAGAGAAACCTTGTCTCGAGAAACCAAAAAATAAAAATTAAAAATAAAAATAAAAAAAGAGCTAGGGATAAGCTTTCGTAATTAATAATAAGTCTCCGTGTCATTACTGGGGACCCAACAGTCCCAACCAAAATGTCTGATTCCATGTGAGTCCCACAGTCAAACTCAGGTTATTTATCATCAGGCTTGGCAGCAAGCGTCTCTCACATTGAGATATCTTACTGCCCTCCACCTTGTCTTTTGAGACAGGGTTCTCAATGAACATGGAGCTCTCCAAGGAGGCTGGCTAGCCAATGAACTCCAGGGATCTTCTGGTCTCATCTCTCCAGCACTGGGATCCCAGATTCAACGTGCCCACCCTTGTTTTGTTTTACATATGTGTTAGGGGTCTAAATTAAAATCCTTCTGTTTGTATAGCAAGCATTTTGTCAACTGAGCCATTTCCCCAGTTCTTCAGACGGGTTTTTGTAATACTAAGTTATGCATAACTAATTAAATAATGTGGTAGTTTGAATGTGAGTGACCTCCATAGTTTCATATATTTGAATGCTTAGTCACCAGGGACTCTTTGAAAAGATTACAAGGATTAGGAGGTGTGGCCTTGATGGAGGAAGTGTGTCACTGTATGTGGGCTTTGAGGTATCAAATGCCCATGACAGACTCAGTCCCTCTGTCTCTCTGTCTCTCTCTCTCTCTCTCTTTTCCTGCCCCTTCGTGGATCAAGATGTAGCTCTCAGCTACTGCTCCAGTACTTTGTGGGCTGCTATGTTCCCTGCCATGAAGATAATAGACTAACCCTCTGAAAATGTAAGCCAGACCCAAGTTAAATGCTTTCCTTCCTAGAGCTGCCATTGTCACGGTGTTTCTTCACAGCAGTATAACAGTGACTAAGCCATATAACATACATAACAGATTTTGATAAAATATTCATCATCAAAGTTCTATTCAGGCTACTTCTGTTAAGCAGATGCATCGTAACCAAGGACTAATATTTAATGACTGTAAACAGAAAGCTGTACTTTCATTTCCCAGCCTCCCAGACCTGAATAATCACACAAACTATATTAATTATAGCACTGTTTGGCCAATGGCTCAGGCATATTTCTAGCTAGCTCTTACATCTTAAATCAACCCATTTCTATTATTTTCTATTTTACTGTGAGGTTCATGGTTTGTTACCTTATATCTTGCTCTTGGGCAGCTATACAGCATCTTCCTGACTCTGCCTTCTTTCTCTCTGCATTCAGTTTAGTTTTCCCACCTAGCTATATTCTACCCTGCCATAGGCTAAGTAAAGCAGCTTCTTTATTAACCAATGGTAATAAAACATTTATAGCATAGAGAGGAATCTCACATCAAATGATTGTATTGAAATATTCACTTACAGTCTTTCATTTGTACCCGTCATTAGATAAGGACAGTGGGAAGCTGGCGAGATGGCTAAGCAGTTAAGAGCATTTGCTCTTTTCCGGAGGACCCAAGTTTTATTCCAGCATTTGGGTAGCTCTTAAGTGCCTATAACTCCAGCTCCAGGGAATCTAATGTCTTCTGGCTTCTGCAGATACCTACACATATATGTCAGACACAGAGACACTTACATAAATTTTAAAACAAAAATCATTTAAAAACTTTCATACATATATATTTAATTAAAGGGGAATAGATACATATATATCACTCAGTTTGGCAGCTAGCATATATTTAAATTTTTAACACATGTTAGAAATGTTTTAACATGTTACAGGATTAAAGTAATCTAAAAGTTAGCTAGAAAAATGTTATAATAAGTTTGAAATATATTACTATTTCAGAATACATTCCGTTTGACAGAATCACATTTTTATCCTAAATTTGAACTGACATATTTGGAAATAGGAATTTTGGAAACTTCCCAGGTATGTGTTAAAATCATAGTTTGCTAAGTGAGTGAGAAGTCACAGGTTTGTGTAAAGAGAACACTGAGTGGCTGGAGATGTCCTAGGTTCAATCCCCAGCACCCACATGGCAGCCCACTACTGTTTGTAGCCCCAGTTCCAGAGGCTCCAATGCCCTCTTCTGACCTCTGCAGGCACAAGGCATGCATGTGCAAAATGCTCATCACACATAAAACCACTGAGAATTATTTCTTTGAGAGAAATGAGGAGACACTCAAACAG